GAGATAAGAAGTGGCAGCGTGCCGCACACAAGCACGCCGTAACCACACTTTTTATTTTCAGGTCTAACTTGGACCGCCATCATGGTGCTCGCCGACCTGGGGAGGAAGATCACCTCGGCGCTGAGGTCACTCAGCAACGCCACCATCATCAATGAAGAGGTGAGTGGGTCAAATCTGAGCGCCCAGCTGACACCGCCATGGTCTGTGACTCACCATGTGTGTTTCCAGGTGCTGAACGCCATGCTGAAGGAGGTGTGCGCTGCTCTGCTGGAGGCCGACGTCAACATCAAGCTGGTCAAACAGCTGAGAGAGAACGTCAAGTGAGTGTGATCGTCCTGATCCCGGCGTCCGAGTGTCCCGGTTTAGGTGTGCTGAACTGTTTTTGTCCCTGCAGGTCTGCCATAGACCTGGAGGAGATGGCATCGGGTCTGAACAAGAGGAGGATGATCCAGCACGCCGTCTTCAAGGAGCTCGTCAAGGTCAGATCGTCTCGCTGCCAATGCTCGATCAGGTTAAACACCAACAGGAAGTTGTTGAGTCTAACCATGCAGTGTGTGTGTGTCATGTGACCAGCTGGTGGACCCCGGCGTGAAGGCGTGGACCCCCACTAAAGGCAAGAACAACGTCATCATGTTTGTCGGTCTGCAGGGCAGCGGAAAAACTACGACCTGCTCCAAGGTGACCCACACTCACCTGTCATAGACCCCGCCCCCTTACACAGGCCCCGCCTCCTGCTGTGTTCTCACTGTGATTGGTGTGTTTCCTGCAGCTGGCGTATTACTACCAGAGGAAAGGCTGGAAGACCTGCCTGATCTGCGCCGACACTTTCAGAGCAGGTTAGCGTCACTTCCTAGACTCACTTCCTGTCAGTCACATGACCGCCATCATCATCTCCTCTCCTCTCTCAGGTGCCTTCGATCAGCTCAAACAGAATGCCACCAAAGCCAGGATCCCCTTCTACGGCAGGTGAGTCTCAGACAGCCAGCGTCCCTGGTGTTACCTCTGGGTGATGAGTTCAGGTGTGTGGTGCATTCACGTACCTCCTGACTGTCCGTGTTCTTCAGTTACACAGAGATGGACCCGGTGGTGATCGCCTCAGAGGGCGTGGAGAAGTTCAAAGCAGAGAACTTTGAGATCATCATCGTGGACACAAGCGGACGACACAAACAGGAGGACTCGCTGTTCGAGGAGATGCTGCAGGTCTCCAACGCTGTGGTGAGTCCCTGAACGCACCACCTCAGGTGCAGTCCCGCTAACTAGAGCAACAGGAAGTGTTTGTGTGTGAAGGTGCCTGTTCTGGACTCAGGTGTGTCCCTGGTCCTGTTTCCATAGCAACCCGACAACATCGTGTACGTGATGGACGCCTCGATCGGGCAGGCCTGCGAGTCCCAGGCCAAAGCCTTCAAAGACAAAGTGGACGTGGCGTCGGTCATCGTCACCAAACTGGACGGGCACGCCAAAGGAGGAGGAGCTCTGAGCGCGTAAGCCTAGCGTCCTGTGCTGCATGATGCTGTCATACGACTGTTACGGTTTACCTTCTTCTTCTGCTGTTTCCTGGCAGTGTGGCGGCCACACGCAGTCCCATCATCTTCATCGGAACGGGCGAGCACATCGACGACTTCGAGCCATTTAAGACGCAGCCGTTCATCAGCAAGCTGCTCGGTAAGCACGCGCCGGGGGGAGGGGCATATGCACGGACGCACGCTGAGCGGCTGTCATTGGTCCACCAACTTTTTTTTTTATAATCTGACTGATTCTGGATATTTGCACTGAGCCGTTTCCATGGAAACCTGTCGACTCCTCTTCCTGTCAGGAATGGGCGACATCGAGGGCCTGATCGACCGAGTGAATGAGCTGAAGCTGGATGACAACGAGGAGCTGATCGACAAGCTGAAACACGGTGAGACGGCGAGCACGCCACCCACACTGCACTCTGGGTAACCTCACTAATCTTAACCTTTGACCTCTGACCCGCAGGCCAGTTCACCCTCAGAGACATGTACGAGCAGTTCCAGAACATCATGAAGATGGGCCCCTTTGGACAGATCATGGTACACACTCACCTGAAACTCACCTGAAACTCACCTGAAACTCACCTGAGGCTGAGAGACGGCTTGATGACTGTGTGTGTGTGCGTGTGTGTGTGCGTGATGCGTTCAGGGTATGATTCCAGGCTTCGGGACAGACTTCATGAGTAAAGGCAACGAGCAGGAGTCGATGGCTCGACTGAAGAAACTGATGACCATCATGGACAGCATGAACGACCAGGGTAACGCGCACGCACGCACGCACGCACACACGCACACAGCTGGTCCTGATGGATGACCCGATGTCTCTCCACTCTCTTGGGTTCTGCAGAGCTGGACAGCAAAGATGGAGCGAAGCTCTTTAGCAAGCAGCCCAACAGGATCCAGAGGGTGGCCCGGGGGTCAGGGGTCGCCACCAGAGACGTCCAGGAACTCCTCACCCAGTACACCAAGTTCGCCCAGATGGTCAAGAAGATGGGAGGCATCAAAGGACTCTTCAAAGGTACCGACACCTGCTGGGGGGGTCTGAGAAGGTTTTCAGGAACATGTGAGAGGTCAAAGGGAACTGAGCGGGTCTGCAGGTGTACAGCGTCCTGCCGCTGACGTGTTTGTGGCGTGCTCGCTGTGTTTCAGGAGGAGACATGTCCAAGAACGTGAACCCGTCTCAGATGGCCAAACTGAACCAGCAGATGGCCAAAATGATGGACCCCAGAGTCCTGCACCACATGGGTAAGACCAGAACCCAGACCCAACCACAGGTCTGCTCGCCTGCACGCGTCCTGGAGAGTAACACCTGTGTGTGTGTGTGTGTGTGTGTGTGTGTGTGTGTGTGCGCACGCAGGCGGGATGGCGGGTCTCCAGTCGATGATGCGTCAGTTTCAGCAGGGCGCCGCGGGCAACATGAAAGGCATGATGGGATTCAACAACATGTGACCACCAACCAATCTGCTGCCTTAACTACAGGCTCCGCCTCCAGACAGTCGGAGGGGTGGGGCTTAGAGTTACCTGTTCTCTGCTGCTTTCAAAGAGAGGGGGAGAGGATGTTTCATTAATTTAAATGTGTAGGATGAAAATGGAGTGTCCTGATTGGACGAGCTGATGATGATGATGAAGATTAGTGATGTATTTTTGGCGTTTAATAAACGTTTGTATTTACACCATTTTACACCTGCTGTGTTTTTGTTTGTTTGTTTGTTTTTTCTCACAGGTAGTGAAGTCTGGGATTTTCAGAATAAAATCGTACTGTTTGCTTTGAGTAAAGCTGTAAAATAAATAAAGTGAGTTGTAAAAGTTTTCAGTAGAAAATAAAATGTGAGGTAAAAGTTTGAGTTTATTCCAGGAACTTTTAATCCAGTGAGAACAGGAAGTGTGTGGGCTGTTCTTCAGCCTGTTTAATGATGATTAATAAAAATATGAAGACTGAACAGAGACGTGACTGAAAACGGTATCAGAATAATTCAGGTAATAACAGGTAATAAACAGAAGAGTGGCATCTGGTTTGATTAGTTTGGGTGTGAAGAGTGCAAACCCTGAGCGGTTAGAGCGGCTCCTCCCGGGCTGTGGGTCAGAGTTTCTCAGGTTTCAGGTTAAAGGTTGTTACAGTGAGATGAAACGGTTGAGTCCTCCGGGCTGGAGCTTCATTGCGCCGCCCCTCTCGGGTCTGGTTCCGGGATTTCTGTCGGAGTGAGCCCTCTGCCTGCGTTTTTCCTCTCTGGGTCTTGACGTGGCGGCCGCCATATTGTTTTGCTGTGTTGTCAGTGGAGAGCGGCGGCAGCTTCAGCGGCGGTGAGTGTCGTTTACCTGGAGCACGGACTCACCTGGGCCTGGCAGAGCGCCAACCTCAGCTGGCCTCTGTCGAGCCACCTGTGCGCGCGTCCCGTAACTGTCACCCGTGTGACGTCAGTGTCGCAGTTAGCCGTTAGCTTGAGTTAGCTGCTGTGTGATGTTGAGAAAACGGGGCTGACTTGGTGTTTGAGTCCTCGGGTTCGGCTCCAGGTGTGCCGACGCCAGCAGCTACCTGTGCCACACGGCTCCTGCTGTCACACACCTGCAGGTGTCCCACAGGTAGCTGCTGACGTCAGTTTTTTTTAAGTGTCGCAGGTGCAGCATCTCTGACCTGCTGGACTTTAAATCCTGCAAAGGTCGCGCAGAGTCGGTGGGTGCCGGTGAGGTCACGTGTTTAAGAGTGGCACTGTCTTGATGATGATGATGATGATGATTCTGGGATGAAGCCTCAGATTCAGATGTGACGTTAGAAACGCTCCCATAGTGAGACCAGAGGATCCAGCAGGACCACAGGGACCCGCAGCCCGCCCACCAGACTCTGTTCGGTTTTTGCAGGATTTTGTGTTCGGCTCGTTTTCGTGGGTCTCTGCTGGAGCAGCAGCTGGGGTTTCATTTCTCGGAGTTTCCTGCGAAGTTCGGCCTGAGCTGGACTCCATTGTGAGCATTAGGACTCGGGGCTGGTAGCTCAGTGTGCATTTTCTGCAGTTTTTACAAGAAATGAAGGCTTTCTGGAGCTTTTTCAGTTGAAGAGTGAAGTCTCACTGACCTTTGACCCCATATCAGCCTGTTTGTGTCAGCATCAACCAGACTAGGGAGAAACTTTTTTTCTGATTTTAATTCTTTCTGTTGGTTCGTTCTTCTTATTGTTGTTATTGTTGTTGTTTGTGGTTTATGAAAGTTTAGCAGTGACTCGTTTTTCTGCCACGTGGTCAAAGAACATAAAATCATTTCAACGCCACCATAAAAATCCATCTGGCAGGTTCAGGCGCTGCCTGCTGTTTTTCTCTTTTAGTAACTGCTCACCTGCAGCTGTGCCTGTCTTTGGGTGTGATTTTTCCTACCTTTGAGACTCACCTGTGTTTATGTCTAGAAAGTAGAACCGGTCAGAATGTGGGTTGGGGGCACGACAGGTAAAATTGCTACCTGGTCGCATATAAACACCAGGATGACATCGCCTCTCACAGGTGTGTCAGTCTGGTGAGAGATAAAGCCTCACCTTTGAAACGGTGACGCAGGTGTTTGCACGAAAACATCACTTCAATCCGAACCAACGTAACTTTAGAAGAAAGTGGGCGGGACTTATTCCCACCCTCTCCTCCTCTCATCAGCTTATACCCAACAGTGTGAACCCCCCCTCCCACTTCCTGGTGGTTCCATGGCGACCTTTCCAGAGTACATCGCTCAGAATGAGGAGCGCGACGGCGTCCGTTTCAGCTGGAACGTGTGGCCGTCGAGCCGGCTGGAGGCGACCCGGATGGTGGTGCCGGTGGCGGCTCTGTTCACTCCGCTGAAGGAGAGGACCGACCTGCCCCCGATCCAGTACGAGCCGGTTCTCTGTAGTCGCGCCACCTGCCGCGCTGTACTCAACCCACTCTGGTACGCATCACAGCCTCCAACACTCACCTGTCCGCCACCCTTTACCTGTGTGCCCCGCACTCATGTGTCTGTAACTTTCAGCCAGGTGGACTACAGAGCCAAGCTGTGGGCCTGTAACTTCTGCTACCAGAGGAACCAGGTGAGTGCCGCAAGCCCCGCCTACCTGTCAGGTGTCACAGGTGGAGTCTGACCTTGTCTCTGTCTCAGTTTCCTCCGTCCTACGCCGGGATCTCTGAGGTGAACCAGCCTGCCGAGCTGCTGCCTCTGTTCTCCACCATCGAGTATGTGGTTCAGGTGAGTCCTGAGGACAGGTGAGACAGGTAACGACCGTGCCGTCAGGTGTGTGAGCCGCTGTGCTCTTTGTCCCCAGAGGGGCCCTCAGATGCCGCTGGTGTTCCTGTATGTGGTGGACACCTGCATGGAGGACGAGGACCTGCAGGCGCTGAAGGAGTCTCTGCAGATGTCGCTGTCTCTGCTCCCGCCCACCGCGCTCGTCGGACTCATCACCTTCGGTCGCATGGTTCAGGTGCACGAGCTCGGCTGCGAGGGTATCTCCAAGAGCTACGTCTTTAGGGGGACCAAGGATCTGAACGCCAAACAGCTGCAGGTACGTCACCTGCACGTCCCTCTGGGGCGGGGCTTCCCGAGCGTCAGAACTCAGGTGAGTTAACAACACCTGTGCTTCCTGTAGGAGATGCTGGGTCTCACCAAACCTTCGGCCGCTCAGGGACGAGGACCTCAGGCGGCGCCACAGCAGTCATTCAACAGGTGAGCCTCCTGTGAGCCTGAGTGGGTGTGGCTTAAGTAAAGGTGCTGTCACCGCAGCGGCATTCCTCACACTTTTCCTGCAGGTTTCTGCAGCCGGTGCAGAAGATCGACATGAACCTCACCGACCTGCTGGGGGAGCTGCAGCGCGACCCCTGGCCTGTGACGCAGGGCAAGAGACCGCTGCGCTCACTGGGTGTCGCCATGTCCATCGCCGTGGGGCTTTTGGAGGTGAGGGGGCGGGGCTTTAGGCAGACAGAACATGGCGTGGATGTGGACTTTGATCATCGGTTTTGTTTGTGTTCTTTTACCCACAGTGCACCTTTCCCAATACTGGCGCACGCATCATGACCTTCATAGGCGGCCCGGCGACGCAGGGGCCCGGCATGGTGGTGGGAGACGAGCTGAAGACGCCGATCAGGTCCTGGCACGACATCGAGAAGGACAACGCCAAGTTCATGAAGAAGGCCACCAAAGTGAGTGCACGCCATTTACAGACCATGTGACCCGTTTTTTTACCTGATTATTTTCATCATTACTTTATCTTTGAGACTTTTAATGGTTGTTGTGACCTTCGTTTGTTCTCTCGCTCACAGCACTACGAGTCTCTGGCCAGTCGAGCGTCCAGCAACGGTCACATCATCGACATCTACGCCTGCGCCCTCGATCAGACCGGCCTGCTGGAGATGAAGTGCTGCACCAACTACACCGGGTACACACACACACAC